TGTGCGCGTGTGTGTGTGTGTATATATGATTCTGTATTTTGCAATTAGGTGTTACACACTGGAAGCCGGCATCTAAAAATTTACAATATTATGATAGCTGGGAAGATGTTCCCGAACAATGGCAAACACAAGTACGGCCGAAAATGTTTCCTCCAGATGCAAATGAAGCTTCTAAATTTCATCTTGAACGTTGGTAAATACCGCACAAATAAATTAACAGATAATATTATGTTATATTTCTTTAGATTATATTTTCACCAATGTTATAGTATGAGAATATTACCACATCATCAAGATACTGGAGGTTTTTTCGTCGCTGTGCTGGAGAAAGTAAAATCTCTGCCATGGGAAAGAGAAATTTGTGTATTAAATCAAAGTACACAGAATGTAGATGGTAACGAAAACAAGGATAAGCACATTCTTGAAGAAAAATCTGTGCAAGACATAAAGCTTTCAGAAAGTGAGAAACATACATTAGAAGAAGAAAAAAAATTACGGGAACCACCAAAAAAGCGAAGAAGAATGACTGGTTACAGAGAAGATCCATTTGTCTTCTTCAAGGATCAAACAGAAGATGTCTGGCACTCTATTAAGTGAGTTTCAGTTTTTTGTTTTTTCCTTTTTTTTTTTAGTATTTAATACAACTAGTTTTTTTATATTGTTCCATATATTTTCAGAGATTTTTATGGCATATCTGATGATCTAGATCCACGTTGTTTATTAGTAAGATGTCATGAAGGAAAAAAGAAAAATATTTATTTCACGTCACCAGCAATTCGCGATATAGTGATATCTAATGAGAATAAAGTAAAGATGATCAACACTGGCGTTAAAACGTTTGTACGATGCGACAATAAAAATATGAATTGCGCCTTCAGACTTGCTCAAGAAGGGATGCATAGTATCATTCGTTACATAAGTGATGATAGAAAGGTTCAGATCTCAAAAGAAGATTTGATAATGCTTTTACAAAATGATGATCCACACACGCCACCTGAAATTGTAAAATTAAATTCAGAAACTCAAGAACGTCTCAAGGAATTCGGTAAATATAATTATATATAATTGTTTTTTTGATTCTTTATACTGTTTTTACACGATAATTCATAAATTTTACTTGAAAAATATATTTAATTTAAGCAACTGGAAGTTGTATACTGTTATACAAAGAAGAGAAGACTGATAATCCAAATCGCCTAAATCTTCAGCTAGTAGGATGGAGGGGAATAATGTCTCTTAGAGCATATGTACCTACTTGTGATGCAGTTCATTATTTACGACTTTTAGGAGCGGATTGCTCTAAATTTGGTATGATGTTTGTAATAATATGATATTACTGTGTAGAAGAATATATCTTATTGTTTACATTCTAATTTTACAGAGAAAAATAAATTTGAGGAAAATCGCGCAGCCGCATTAGCCAAGGACGTCAACAACGACGATGTTAAAACTGAATGTAAAACTAAAATTGAAACCGAAGATTAATGAAAAAGTTGTAACAAAAAACAAGGATAACATAGAGGAAGAAACAGAATGAATAACTGATTAGATCATTATGACGTAATTAAAACTTTTCTAATTTTTTACACACACACACACACACACACACACGTGTGTGTGTGTGTGCGTATGTAAATTAAAATATTTAAATTGTATCCTTTTTTTATGAATTCGATCTGATAATAATTGAGTATTAATTATTAAGGCTTCCCAATTTTTCTAATATCTTACATATTCACACATATATATGTATTCGTGTGTATGTGTGTATAGAAATTAAGATATTTAAATCGGTTTCTTTTTTATTTAATCCGATCTGATCCGTAATGATCGAGTATTGATACTGAAAAATATATAAATGGAAAGAAAGAAAATGTGTGGTTTTAAAGGATAAAAACTTCGACGACGGAATGTTAAATGATTATTTTTACTGATCATTTTCTATGAAATAACTGCTTTATGAAATTACATATGTTTTCTAACGTTTGAGCGCTGATCTTTCCATTTCCTAATGCCTGTTGGACACATCTTGCCATAATGTAGTATAGTAAATTTTCATTATAAATATGGCCGGATGCAAGGAATCATTAATTCTGAAATGATGTTTTTGTAATACCTGATATCACTGCCTTTAATAATTGATGCACCTCTGCATATGTCCTTGGATATTATGCAACAGTGATGATAAAAAGAATGAAACCTATTAACAACTCTTAATATCTCGTCTTAGCTAAGTCATGTCACTCACATGATTCCGCTTACTAGCTTAATTAATAAGCATCTCTAAATCTTTAAATATCAGGATTCTCAATTTACAATTAAAAATCCGCTTTATCACGAATTTATATTAATAAAGGACGGGTTCTGCTAAAAAAATCATTTCAATATAATAAGTACAAATATGAAAAACGCTAAAAACAGTTCGTATATACAAATATATAACATATACATAAACTATAAAATAAATGAAATCAAAATCCTCTTTTTTTTTTTTAAGACTTGTCGAATTCGTCCGTTGACTTCGAAGTTGTTGCCTGATGCTAGTAATCTCTACCCGTCGGTGATGTTAATTTGCCGCTGAGATTTTGTGAATTAGATGGAGATTTCGAACCTAGAATCGTATAGAAATTACGAATTTCACTATAAAACAGTTTATTCTGCTCTCTCTCTCTCTCTCTCTCTCTCTCTCTCTCTCTCTCTCTCTCTCT